TCATCATCATCATCATCATCATCATCATCATCATCATCATCATCATCATCATCATCATCATCATCATCATCATCATCAGCATCATCATCAGCAGCATCAGCATCATATTCATCTGCATCTGCATCAGCATCATCATCAGCATCATTATCAGCAGCAGCATTATCATCAGCATCATCATCAGCAGCAGCATCATCATCAGCAGCAGCATCAGCATCAGCATCAGCATCAGAATCATCATCATCATCAGCAGCAGCAGCATCAGCATCAACATCATAATCATCAGCAGCATCATCATCATCAGCAGCAGCAGCATCGCCATCACCATCACCATCACCATCACCATCGCCATCACCATCAGCATCATCATCAGCATCAGCAGTATCAACACCATCATCATCACCATCATCATCACCAGCATCATCACCATCGTCGTCGTCTCAACCACCATCATCATCAATGGCAGCATAGTTCGCCAACCTAGCGGGCCAGAGGTGTGTTACGTCCCGAAGTCAGGCTAAGCCAGGTCATGTGGCGGCCATGCGGTTGACCAAGTTCGCACACGCGGGACCGCTCCAGGAGACTGTGCTGTGCAAAGTTAGGGCGGCCCAGGGGCCCAAGGGTGGGACAAGAGCATCTCTCACTGGAATTCAGGCCCCTCTGGATGAAGATCGCAATCCAAAATTGACACATGGAGGCCCTGAGAAGCTCCACGATGGCTTCTGGACTGTCGCTGCAGGTTCTAAGATGGCTCTAAGATGGCCCAAGACGTGTCCAATATAGTCAGGCGACCTTCGAAGATAGCTCAAACTCGCAGATGACGCCTCCTCGGAGGCCCTCTCGAGGACCCATGCAATGGAAAAGCTTGTTTAATGGTGAATGTTGCCTGTTTGCCTTCGCTCCAATGGGATTACTATGACTGCGTGTCGTCCCAGGAGAGCTCAAACTGGCCCCAAGAACGCCACAAGGCAACTCTAAGACCCCACAAGAAGGTCCCAAGAGGGCCTTAAGGCAGCCCCAAGCCAGCCCACAAGAGGCCCGTGGTACTGGATGAACGCTGCGCAGCACGGGCACTTCTACGCATATGTGCAAAGCAGGGGACCTTCAAGAGCGCATCAAACTATCCGCCCTGGGAGTTGGGATGGTCTCCCGTGCGCGCCTGGGTCAGAGTCTTGCACAGACAGCACAAGCTGGACCACGCGCAGTTTTGAGGGGTTCGTTTGGGGCGTTCGGGGGGGGGTCTTTGCAGGGGTAGATTCTGATGGAGTTTGGAGTATTGGGGTGGATTTGGGTTGATATTGGTGGCTTTGGGTTGATTCGGCCCCAAGTGGGGCGGGTCCCCAAACGATAGGCTTTGGCAGAACTCGGAAACCGAGATGGCGGATTTACCTGCACGCACCCCTCCCTTGTATATTACTGCTTACGGGGGAATACTGCGGGGGGAGGGAGGGATGGGGTTCCATCGAACACCGCCCTGAGGAGGAATTTGACCTGGCCCACGTGTTGTAGACTTGCAGTCCGGCTCGCCGCGGTCGTTCTATAATTTTACGACGGGGTCCATCATTGTCGTCAGCGTCGTCGTCGGTCAGTCGGTCGGTCTGTCGGTCGGTCGTCGCCAGTCGTCGTCCTCGTCGTCGGCGTCGTTCGCCGTCGTCGTTGGTCGCCGCAGTCGTTCGATAGGTCGGTCGTCGTCGTCGTCGTCGTCGGCGTCGGTCGGTCGGTCGGTCGGTCGGTCGAACGGTCGGTCGAACGGTCGCGGCTCGCGTTGAAAATGGCGCGTGTCCAACTTAAGGGAACTTTCGCACCTATCTGAAGGGGCGCTAAGAAAGCTCCCCGAACGCCCCCGAGGAGGCCTCCAAGCTAAGAGGCCAAGGCCATTGAAAGACTGCAAGCTCGTGGTTCTAGTGCTTCTGGGTGTTTCGCCGCGTCTTCTGCTCGATGGCCCCCCGAGGCCCGAAGACGACCCCCCCCCAGGCGCCGAAAACGGGAAAGGCGTCCGCAAGGCGGTGCGCTTGTCGCGGCGCCAGGTCCGGAATGCGGACGGCTCCCACCGACGCTGGCACGAAGGAAGGGGGGTCCCGAGGGAAGCGGCCCCTGGGACCCCTGCGGCTTCCCCCAGAACCCAGCTCTCCTCCCGAGCTGGTTTTGACACCTCTGGGGGGGGGGGGGGAAGGGCCCGCCTGGGAGGTCGCACACCGCGAGGGAAAGACACGGGACCCCCGTAGGAGGAGAAGGAGGAGGAGCGAGGAGGAGCAGAAGGAGGAGGAATGAGAAGGAGGAGGAGGAGGAGGAGAAGAGGACGAGGAGGAGGAGGAAGAACAGGAGGAGGAGGAGGAGAAGTCTCCCTCAGGATCCCTCTTCTCAACGGCCGACGCCGCCGACGCCAAGCCGACGCCCGCCGAGCTCCGCCGACGCCCGCCAGCCGCGGCCACGCGCAGGAGGTGGCCCCTGGCAAGAGGGACCCGGTGCCTACGGCAAGCCCGCCGCCGTGACAGCGGAGCACCCCATGTGTTTCGGGGGCGACGATGAGGGCGAACAGCCGAGGGGCGGGTATTACACGTAGTCGCCCGGGGGCCTTGTCGAAAAAAATATCGTCGGCACCTCTGGATACATGTATTGCTCCCGCCTGGGCTGTTCGCTCCTGCCGTCGCCTCTGAGTGCTGACGGTCCCAACACCGTGTGGTGACAGACCCGGCGGTGACCTCGAAATCCACGCCGACCTCACCGCAAGGTCCGTCACCACACGGCTCTGGGACCTCGGAGGCCCCAGTCGCCCGAGACGTACCCGAAGCACGGCCCAAGTCCCAAAACCGTGCGGTGACCCCGAATCCCCACCGACTCACCACACGGTGTGGTCACCACCCCGTTTGAGGGCCCCCGAATGTGGCGTACCAGAGGGTCACTCCAGCAAAGAGCCACCCTTACGCGTGGCCGAGCCGAGCTCGGCCGCCGACGCCAGCCGAGCACAGCCGGCGCCGCCCGCCGAGCTCGGCGGAAGAGCCGCTGGGCCCCAGGCGCTCTGGCTGGGGCGAGGGTGGGTCGGCTGGCGCTTCTCCTGGCGCAGGGTTGGATCCTCCTCCTCCTCCTCCTCCTCTCCTCCTCCTCCTCCCTCCTCCTCCTCCTCCTACTCCTCCTACTCCTACTCCTCTCCTCTCCTACTCCTCCTCCTCCCTCCTCCCCTCCTCCTCCTCCTCCTCCTCCTCCTCCTCCTCCTCCTCCTCCTCCTCCTCCTCCTCCTCCTCCTCCTCCTCCTTCTCCCCCTCCCGTCGCGGCCACCAGAAGCATTTCCCAGCCACCCCGCCCTCCGCACGGACGCCACCCCCGAGGCCCCTCTGACGGCCCAGGACAACCCCAGGAATGCCCACCGAACACCCTGGCCCCCCCCCAAGACTCCTCGTACGGCCAGGAAGCACCGAAAAATGGCCCCGCAGGCGCCCTTATCAGCTCCAGAGCATACACCATGGTCCTCTCTCCTCCTCCTCTCCTCCTCCTCCTCCTCCTCCTCCCTCCTCCTCCTCCTCCTCCTCCTCCTTCTCCTCCTCCTCATCCTACGCTGTCTCCTACTCTTCCAACTATCCCTCTTCCTCCTCCTCTTCCTCCTCCCCCTCCTGCTCCTGCTCCTGCTCCTCCTCCTCGTTCTCCTCATACGAATGTATTTCTGTTAATATAAATATGCGTGCTCAGAGTAAGAGAGTAAGAGTGGTGTGGCTTGTATACAAATCGAGTAAAACAATACTACGTTAATACATTGATGTATTGCTAGATTCGTGTATATTTATGTGTGAATAGACATATACAAATACATATACATATCCATATGCATATATACACTACATATGATGAGTACTCCCTAGACAGAGTACTCCCTTTGACTAGTACTCCTTTTGGCTGGTACTTTCTAGGACCAGTACTCCCTAGGACTAGTACTCTTTCAAACCAGCACGCCATAGGACTAGCACTCCCTAGAGACAGTTACTTCCTAGGACTAGCACTTCCTAGAACTCGAACCCCCTAGGACCAATACTCCCTACCTGGGCCGAACAATCTCTCGGACCCGCACTCCCTATGATGAGTACTCGTTACGAACAGTACTCCCTAGGACTCGTACTCCCTAGGACCACTACTCCCTAGGGCCAGTACTCCCTGAGACGACGGCCCCTGAGGCCAGCAAGAGGGTCTCAAGACGGCCCAGGAGGACTCCAAGACGGCCCAAAAGAGCCCCAAGCCAGCCCAACCGTGAAAAACATTACTATCAGAAGTTTGGCATTATCCGCAGTCTAATAATATGTGTTTCACGTTCCAGACGCGCGCGGCGTGTGCGAATGTTTGTGTTTCTCGAGGGTTCGCTTACTTTCAGGAATGAGCCACAAAAAAACAAAGACGCCTACATCAGTGCCACATATTGTTTTTTCTGATGTTTGACGGTACCCGCTGTCTAATTGCACTTGCTGGGCATTACATACGCGAAGTGTTCGTACTACATGTTGTTGTTATGTATTTCGACTGCGTTCAAACATAACTGAGCAAAGAAACAAAAAGGGCATAAACCCGTGAAAAAATATTGTTGTCTGACTGTTGACATTCTTCGCTATCTGATAGGACTGGCTGGGCATTCCATGCGCGCGTAACCTGTACGACCTGCTGCTTGTTTTCTGTATGTCGTCTGTTTTCAAACAGAAATGAACAAACAAAAACAAGAACACATAAAATGGTGAAAGCGCATGTTTTTTTCAATGTTGACATCCTGCGCTGTTCAATAGGATTCCCTATGAACATACATGCACATGCGTGCCTGGGGAGGGAGCGGGAGGATGGAGGGTGCCGTCCGATCCTCCGAAGCGGTGGCCCGACTTTTTCAGCCACGTTCATAGGCCAGGACAGCGCAAGATGGCGTGAGGCTGAACGCGCGCGGCGCGTCGTCGTCGTCGTCGTCGTTGTCATATTGATCTGATGCGCATGGAACGACGACACTCGCAGCAAGTATATGGAATTCGCCAGCCCCACTGTCTGGGGAACACGGGCGTGCAGTTTCGGGGTGCTGCCCCGATACGACTACTACTACTACTACTACTACTACTACTACTACTACTACTACTTACTACTACCACTACTACTACTCCTACTACTACTACTACTACTACTACTACTACTACTACGACTACGACTACGACTACTACTACTACTACTACTACTACTACTACTACTACTACTACTACTACTACTACTACTACTACTACTACTACTACTACTACTACTACTACTACTACTACTACTACTACTACTACTACTACTACTACTACTACTACTACTACTACTACGACTACTACTACGACTACTACTACTACTACTACTACGACTACGACTACTACTACTACTACTACTACTACTACTACTACTACGACGACGACGACAACGACGACTACTACTACTACTACTACTACTACTACTATTACGATTACTACTACTAGTGCGACTGCTCGTAATGCACAGGAATAGTTCTCCATGGGACTAGTAACCCCAAGGAACGGCACCCCCTAGGGCCAGCACCCCCTAGGACAACGGCCCATGAGGCCTCCAAGAGGGCCCCAAGACGGCCCAAGAGGGCTCCAAGCCGGCCCACTAATGAAAAATAATGCTCTGAATGTTGACATTCTCCACCGTCCACTACGATTTGCTTTACATTCCATACGCGCGTGGCTTGTGCGAAATGCTGTTTTCTGTACTTCTATTGTTTTCAAACAGAAATGAACAAAACAACTTGTCGAAACACGTAAATCAGTATTAAAAAAGTGTTTTCTGATGTTTTACCTTCTCCGCTGTCTCATAGCAGTTGCTGTACATTCCATGCGCGATTGACTTGTACTACATGTTGCCTTGTATTGAATTTCGCCTGCTTTCAAACAGAAATGGGCAAACAATTATCAACAACACATAAATCAGTTCTCTTTCACAGTGTCGCCCCACGGGATGGTCACGGGCCCCCCCACCTGCCCCCCGCTGTGGACGTCACTGGCCCCAACGACCGCGAAATCAGTGGAAGAGCCAGCGAGGTGCACTGAGATCATGCACGGCGCTGCCATGGTCGGGAATCGATTTAAACGCTTGCTGTGATGATGCTCACGTACTTGAGCACACAACGAGCGGCTGGATACGGGGATGGTTGTGGAATATCTGATGTCGGCATCGTACAATGAGGTGTATTTTAACAAATACACATAGGCACACATGTGTATAGCAAGTTATGTAGATGAGAATGTCTACATATACCCAATAACGGATCACGCCTTACAATGGACAATGCAACTGACATGGCATCCGAACAGCATGTTGCGACAACGGTATACGAAGTTGCCGTGGTGTTCCATCACGCTGCCAGGTAAGAGTGGGGACGTGCAAAATAGACTGTTTATTTTACATCGGAAAACACCGAAAACATCAGGACACAAACTGTGCTGAATCTCTCACTTTCCTATGGGGAACCAAGAGACTCTGCACGAACCAAGCTTAGTGTGGCAGCGTGATTGAACAAAACTGCGCCTTGGGTGTTCGTGGTTTTCTTGGTAAGCTCACATGTGTTACACACACGGCAACGTCCATGCGGTAGCGCGCTGGGCGACTACATCACACTTTATCGTTTCATCCGCCATCTGTCTACTACGACGCCCTCAAAATATCATATGCAGCATCCGATGTGTTTCAATGTGTTGCAATGTTGCATAATCCTTGGATCATGAGATTCACTTGAGCACAGGATCTGGTAAATGATGGATCAGGCAAAATAACAACAGTTTGAAAACGAATAATAAGCATTGTTTGTTGCTATGTTGCATGATGCCTGGCGTCTGAGATGCACGTGGGCCAAGGATTTAGGAACCAGGGATCGAGCAAAATAGTTGTTGTTTGCGAGTTTGCTTAATCTCTAGATTCTGGAATTCCTCACTTAAGCCCAGGATTTAGGAAACCAGGGACCGAGCAAAATAGCAAACACACTAAAAATCTGTAGACAACAAATCTTTGCTAGTTTGCTTAATCGCTGGATTCTGGACGTCCTCACTTAAGCCCAGGATTTAGGAAACCAGGGATCGACCAAAATAAAAAAAAGCAAATATGTATGTAATAAAAAAGTGGTTGTTATGTTGCTTAACCGCTGGATTCTGGAACTCCTCACTTAAGCCCAGGATTTAGGAAACCAGGGATCGAGCAAAATAGCAAAAAACAAAAACATAAATGTTAAAATGCTTGCTGTTTTGCTCAATCGCTGGATTCTGGAATTCCTCACTCAAGCCCAGGATTTAGGAAACCAGTGATCGAGCAAAATAGCGAATTCAAAAAAACATGAAAATGTTTGCTATTCTGCCTGATCCCTGGATTCTCGGATTCTTCATTTGAGCAGAGGATTTGACATCCAAGGATCAGGCAAAATAGCAATCTATGAAGTGCCACGACGACAAGGATCTAGGAAACCATGAATCAGGTAAAATAAGACAGACGCAGGGAACGTGCCGCTTGGAACGTCCGAAAGGGGGCGGAGGGGGGGGCGAAATGGGGGCGACGGGGTGGTGGCTGGGAAATGCTTCTGGTTGACCGTAGTCTCCTCCCCCTCCTCCGCCTCATCCGCCTCCTGATACTTCTCCTTCTCATCCCTCTTCATCTCCTTCTTCCCTCCTGCTCCCCACTCTACTCCGCATACTCTGCCTCCCCTTCCCTACATCCTCGTCCGCCACCGACTCCGCCTCCTCCGCCTCCTTCTTCTCCTCCTCCTCCTCCTGCTCCTCACTGTCATCCGCCTCATCCTCGCCAATATCATCCATCTCCTCCTCTTTGTCCTCCTCTTTGTCCTCCACGTTCTCCTCCTCCTCTTCCTCCTCCTCCTCCTCTTCCTCCTCCAACGTCTCCTCCTCCTCCTCCTCCTCCTCATCCTCATCCTCATCCTCATCCTCCTACTCGTCATCCTCATCCTCCATCTCGTCATCTTCCTCCTCGCTCCTCATCCTCCCATTCCTCCTCCAACTCCTCCACCTTCCCCTCCTCTGCATCCACCTCGTATTCATGATCCTGTCTGTCCTCACCAACCTCCTCATCCGACTCTTCTTCCGCATCCACTTTCTCCTCCGCCTCCTCCATCGAGAAAATGTCCGAAAATGCACCGTGCCCCAAAGAGCATTCTCGGTGCACTTGAAGGCACCGACCTCGCACTGGCAACAATTTCGTGAAAGACCAGGAGCATCATGCATTTCGAAATGGACCGATAACCAACTCAACTGCACTACATTGACCGCACTGCAATGCTACGACAAGTGACAAAAATGGACGCATGAATAATCAGTACCCCAATCCTGCCGGAAGCCCGCGTTGTCTCCTCACCTTCTTGGAAGGCTCCGAGAGGTCCTCAGTGAGAAAGCGGGAATGCAGTAAGACATGTCCAATGCAAGAGCACGACCTCATCTTCTTAGACCTGCAGCACTCGAAAGGACCTAAACCTACTCGACTACATAGCTGGAAGCCGAAAAATGCTCAGTTGACAATTCTGCCAATGTCGAAGTATATTCGACTGGCCAGAGCTGACTCTGACAAGAGCCGAGTCGTTGGACAAGGCACAAGCAAGACCTGCCACAGCCCGTCACACGATTGCTCCAGAGCATCGACATGCTGAATGCTAACAACTCAAGATCTGGGGGGTCAGATGGAACCTGGATAACTGATGCAGAATCTTCCCACAACCGCACCTGGCAGGTGACCTGAGCAAAATTCTGGAACTCGAGGTTGACGCTCTGCTGAGCAATGCATGTGCATGAGGCCCATCGTCATCGCTGACAGTTGCACGTTCAATGGATGTGCGCGGTGTGATGCTGGCGCTGTGCGTGGCGTTGCAGACACAGCTGGACGACGGTATCCAGCTGGTGGAGAACAGGAGCAACGAGGTCAGCATGATCAACACCATCGTGAAGCAAACGATCATATACGACAACATGAAGTGCAGTCTGCTCTGGTCGTTAGTCACTGCTATGATCGTCACGTCAAGACGAAGGAGTACTTCGACTCCTACCTACCACAAGAAGAAGGCGCAGGAGGGCACACTGCTGGGAACTCTCTCCAGGGTGCCAGGGCACCCAGAGCCCAGGTGAGAAGCGAGGCGTTCTCATGACGGGCAAGGCGTTATACTACCACGAGCCCGGCGTGACCCACCTGAAGGAGAAGTGCAAGCACCGCTCGGCCAGCAAAACCGTTCGCAAGGCCCGCGAGAGGAAGATTTGCCTGAGGTACCAGACGGAGGCATGAGTCTCATGATCTCCGCTGGAGTACGACAACCAAGGGTCGACCATGGAAAGCGGGCAAAGGATATTCATCCCCGCATACACACAAATTGACCGGGGTGGGCCTGGCCGATAAGGAGGTACCCTCCGCGTGGCACCCTGGCCCCTTTTTCCGCCACGGGCGATCTGCATGAAGAGCCGCCACCGTGCCCCTGGCATGCTGAGGCGTGATAGAATGAGCAGTGGGCTTCTGTAAGTCTTCGAGGAGCCGCTTCCCCCCCCTCTCGCAACATACTGTCGCGTGCGTCGCCCCCCCCCCCACCCCACCCACCCGCGTCCTCGGGGCTCTCCAAAAGCTCTCCACGGCTTGCAACACGGCCCAGGAGGTGGCCCAACATTGCCGCAAGAGGCACCCAGCCGCCCCAACAGAAGACTCATGAGGCGCCAGAGGCACCCCAAGGGGCGCCCAAAACATCAATGGCAGCCTAGGAAGCCCTCCTGGAAGGCCATAATAAAAATCGGTGAAATACTTCTTGGTGGGTTTCCTGGGCCTTTCTGCTCCCGATGGCTCCAAGGGGGCCTCGGAAGAGCCAAGAAGGAGCCAAAAGAGCCCAATGAGGGCCGCCACAAGACACCCAGACGGCCAAGGACAGCCCCAAGAGAGCCCTAAGAGAGCCCTAAGAGAGCCCCAAGAGAGCCTCAAGACGGCCCAACAAAGGCCCAGGACAGCCCAAAGAGAGCCCCAAAATGGCCCAAGAGGGCCCCCAGATGCTCCCGAGACAGGCGCCAGAGACTCCCCGGACTGCTGAGAGGGACCCAGAGACAGCCCCGGACAGCACCAAGACGGCGCAGCGGAGGCCCCAGACGACCCAAGAGGGGCCCCCAAGAGGGCCCAAAGAGGGCCCCGCATGAGCCCCAGACAGCCCCGAGGGGGCCCAGGCAGCCCCCGCGAGAGCCACTCAAAGAGTAACAGAGGAGAAGCGCCAAGTGCTACGGCCTCCGGGGAGGTGCCCGAAGCGTCGCTATACGCGGACTGCTGCGCTGGCACGGCGGCGAGACTGGCCGCGGCAGCGGAACAACAGACACGCCCCCCCAAGTTCGGGGGGAATGCGACACTGTGAAAAAAATGATAATAGCCTGGCCAAGACCGCCCACCGCGCGAGCAAGTCTGCAGGGGCCTCCGGCGCGGGAAGCACGGCGCTTGCGCCGCGAAAGCCGCCCCCCGACCGAAGGAGTGTGTGGAGGTCGCTGGCGCGAGAGGCATCCTCCGTGCCATGCGATTCCAGCAAGCCCGCTGGCGGTCTCCAGGAGCTTTCTGGGCGTGTCTCCGTCAAACTGGTTTGGGCACTTCACGATCATATTTCTACGCTTGTGTCACGATCGCGTTCACCATTGCGCAAAAAACTGAGGCGGCAAACTCGCGCTCGCGAAGATACCACAATCAGCTAGCATCCACGAGAAGTCATTGTGAGCCGACCAGGGGCTTGAGACCGAGACCCTGGCAAACCTGTTCATCAGAGCAAACCTGGGAGGAAGCCATTCCGATAAGCCGAGCTTCAGCATTATGTTGAGGCCAAGGTGTTCGAGAAAAACATGTCCATGCTGTGGTTTGAGAAAGCTGTGATTCTCCTCAGGACCACTCACCAGAGGCCCTTCCAGCTGCACGTTAGGAAGGATGAGACGACGAGCGAAAGGGACACATAGATGGAGGACAAGAAGGAGAAGGAGGAGGAGGAGGAGGAGGAGGAGGAAGAGGATCGTGATGTCGAGGATGATGGTGATGATGATGATGATGATGATGATGATGATGAGGAGGAGGAGGAGGAGGAGGAGGAGGAGGAGGAGGAGGGAGGGCGGGTGGTCAACTTCGGATGGAAGGTGTAGCAGACGGGGATTCCCCCAACCATGCTGCATCAATGGCCCGTCCAGCGCTCATCAGGTCTCCGTTCTTTGCGAGAAGATCAGCCCATAAACTGTAGGGATCAGATCTCTGGATTTACACGCCCCATTGCCTACTGCGGGTTCCACAAGTCCTCCTTCGTCTCTTCCTCTCAGCAGCACTTCGCGAACCCTAGAGGGCAACGAGGTGTCTGGCGCAAACTCTGGTAAGCAAACTCATCCAGGAAATCGCGATTAGATGGCCTTCGGGGGTGACTGCCACAGCTTTCTGGTGCAACCTACGGAAAAACTACTAATCTGGGAGATCACGAAATGTCTAGCGCAACCTGTGGGACAACCCTCTCGTCCTCTTGTGGCCTTGCCAAGATGGCGAACGCAAAGAGGACCACGGACGTCTGCTGTTACATCCCGTTTCCAAAGAGATCTGATACCTCTTGCGAATGTGGCGCCACGTCCTCCTGGGTAAGCTCCAAGCTCCCACGCGAGGTCCACAGGAGAACCCCAAGAGGCACCATCGCCATGATCATGACCATCGCCACCGTCATAGCCATGACCACCACTACCATCGTCATCATCAATATCCTCATCATCACCACCATCAGCCGCATCAGCATCATCATCAGCAGCAGCAGCATCACCAGCATCATCATAATAATCGTCGGCATTAGCATCGTCATGGTCACCATCATCCTCATCACAATCAGCATCGCCAGCAGGAGCATCACCATCATCAGCAGCATCAGCATCAGCATCAGCATCATCATCGTCGGCATCGTCATCGTCACCGTCATCGTCGTCCTCGTCATCATCATCAGCGTCATCATCAGCATCGGCATCATCATCAGCAGCAGCATTACCATCATCATCACCACCATCATCATCACGACCGTCGTCATCATCGTCGTGATCATCATCGTCACCATCATCAACAACCTCAGCATCATAACCAGCATCAGCAGCAACAGCATCAGCACAGCATCATCATCGTCATCATCATCGCCATCATCAGCAGCACCATAAACACCATCAACATCACCAGATTCATCGTCATCTGCATCATCAACAGCAACATCGTCGCCATCATCATCTCCACCCTCACCATCAGCAGCATCATCGCCGTCATAATCATTATCAGCATTACCATCATTATAATCAGTATCACTATCGTCGTCATCATCGCCATCATCGTCAGCAGCATCACCAACAACAGCATCATCATAAGCATCATCGTCAGCAGCGTCACCATCGTCATAATCATCATCAACATCATCATCACCACCACCACCACCACCAGCGTCACCAGCATCGGCATCGTCATCACCACCATCGTGACCACCATCCTCACCACCC